TTTTAGTAAAGTTAGTGCACTTGGTCCGAACCCAACCTAGACCTTGCCACTCACATGCCGAAATCACTATTAAATGTAATCTTTTGCTACCAGAATGCGGAGGAAGAAAGTACCGTCTGCCCTTGTCAAAATCAATTGTTTTACCTCGCTTTTAAAAAATCAATGGATTAATATATTCCTTCCAGCAAAATCAAGAAATAAAAATTTGGAAATGTAAAACATGCTGTTGAGTCTCTACATAAGGATGCTAACAGAGCATAAATAACAACTTAAATTTTCATTTCAAATGAAAGACACTTTTTAAGAGGGGAAGGGTTAGTAATTTGTTAAAAGCCTCCAATTTAAATTGCTGCAACCACACATAAGGATTTTCTTTCATTTAAAGGCTTTTACAAGAGCACTTTAAAGCGTAATTGGTTTCTCCCCTAAATCTAGTCCAAAGTCACCATTTACAACTGAACATCAAAGAAAATTTCAGGCATGATTTTGAAGCTCTTGCACTTTACAAAATGCCGTTTGCAACATTAGATTTCTAACATTTTAACTATCTTTTTTTTTTTTGCATCAATAAACTGCCTTCCTTTCTACCCCTACTCCTCATTTCATTTAATATACAATTTTTCTGAGCATTCTTACCCATCTTTAATTTTAAATATGACAGAAGTATATAATACAGTACTGTACATCTAGTATGTATATAAGTATTTTATCTAGTCAGACAACTTCTCTTTAAAAGATATTTTATTTTTAGAAATTTGGGGAAAAGCCTTCTTCAGCTGCCAGCAACGAAAATACAAAAGCTAGGTCAATGTTTCCCAAATTTGTTGAGCTGTAAGAATCGTTTTTGACAGTTGTCAAAAATACCCATTCCTGGGTCTCTTCAATGATCTTCTGAATGAGAATCCTTATGTGAAGGGCCTGGGAATCAGTATCTTAAACAAATATCTGCAATCGTTCTTACCAGTAAAGCTTGGAAAATCACACAAGGATCCCAGTCATTGAATAACCTTGAAAACTTGGAACAATTACTGAAAACACATGAACAGAATTTCAAAATCCTCCCTTTCACTGAATACAGTGTTTGTTCACACCTCCTCATCCTCCTTAACTCATCAAGGACCTAGAGGACTTATGTAACTCCTGAAAGCCACGGACACATGGGAGGATCTGGAAATAAAATTCATAAAGAGGAAAAGCAGCTGTTTAACTTAAAAACCGAGGGTGGGAATAGAGGGGAGAGTCATGAATTTATCCTAATTTAAGCATAAGGTATTGACTTGGTTCTCCAAATGAAATTGGCCTCATTTTTATTTTCTGTAACTCTGTGTTGTAACTCTTATGTATATATAGTGGCTGAGCAAGAAGGAATGAAATCCAGAAATGCAGAATGTACTATCCCTATTTGCTTCCCATGCAGCCAGTCAGTAGCAAGCTGCTCTTACCTCTTCTCCAGCTACTCTCTAGGTCAAGCCAACTTCCCTCCACACTGCTCTGGTGAAAACTCTTACCCACATGTCACCTGTGGGTTAACTCAATGGTTTTCCTTTGAATCTGTTCTTCTTAACACCTGAGATATTAAATAATGTTGATCTTTATGGAGTTTCTACTCCATCTTGATTTCTATAATTCTACTGTAACCCTGTTACTGCCTTCCTTTTTTATCTTCCTGCCTTCACTTTTTCTTTCTACCCCCCTACGGTATGGTTGTATGGTTTAGTGCCTGCTCTTCTGGTCTCTCCACATTCATTCCCTCAGAGCATGCATCCATTCTCTTGCTTTCAACATTCCTGCCAATGTGATGACAACCTATAATAATAACAAGGTTGGTGATAGTCACAACTGACATCTACTGAGCACTTACTTGTGGGTCGTAACCACTCTACATGAATTACACCATTAAATCCTCATAACTCTCAGAGGTACTATTACTAACCCCATTTTAAGAGATGAAGAAATTGAGTTTTTGCCAAATGTCACTTATAAAAGCCAACACAAGCACCCTCTCATCCTATCTCTTTTGTTCATGGCTCTGGGAATTTTTTCAACGTGGCCCAGATTATTAAAAGAAAAAGGGAAGTAATGTGAAAATATTGGAAAAGATGTGATAATAGTATGCAAGGATACTGACCTATCAAATTTTTTGCTATGGTTTTGTTTTCTGAGTTAATTTTGAGATGGGCCCATCCTGATTCTATGGTGCCACCAGGAATCATGAGTTTAATAATGTCTCCTAAGAGTCTTGAAGCCAACTGGTCTCTAAGTTTTCTACATTATGTAAAGAGTTGGGGCTTGAGTAAAAGAGTTTTGGTATCACTTACACAACCCATCACATTGTTTTGTGCCAGTCGTAGTATATTGATACCCAGTGTTGTGTTTGGACCAGCTCCTGTGCTCCTTATTATGATTGCAAGATGCCCTTCAACAACAACGGGAAACTTTGAAAAAAACATAAGTATAAGACCTGGAAATCACACAGCACAGCTGAGGCCACACAGCAAGTTTGCACAGGGCAGCGGGACAGGACATGGCGAGCACAGAAGTTTGCACAGGCTAAGGGTTCTGCTTTTATTGGAGCCAGGGGTGAGGGTCTAAGTCTTAGGGAATTTAAAACATACGAGTGCAAATTTAAAGCTCAGGAAGAGAAAAGACAAATGATCGAAATGGTCAATTATTGATATCAACCAAGATTACAAAGGAGCCTCAGTGGGGCACGCGGTGGCCTGAGTCTTTATCTAGTCTTGTGGTTGGCAATGTTTTCTTTCTTTCTTTCTTTTTTTTTTTTTTTTGAGATAACCATCTTTTGTCAGTTGCTTGTATTACAAAAAGAAAAGCCAAGGCTCAGGGCTTACACAACGTAGGCCAAGTGCTGTCGAATAACCATCCTAGAGTACAGTTCTGTTCATCTCATCCCCTGAAATTTCATCTCTCATAACTGGTTCCTGATGTTATGCAAATTTTTCAGCTAGAAAATGACCCCACTGTGCCTTCTCAATCCTGGTTCCCACCACTGTACTGTATGTGCTCTGTGCTCCAAACAACTGAGCCATTCACTGCTGTGAAAAGCCCAGCCCTCATCTAGCTTCTTGCCTTTGTTCATACTGTTGCCACCATCTTAGCACCAAGCATACAGTGTCTTTGCAGAGATGCTTGATAAATAATTAAGGAATGGATCTCCAGTGGTCTCCAGGATATGCTACACCCCTCCAATTTTCTTCCTCCGGTTTTTCTACCACAACCCCTCCTATTTAATCAAGCCACACTCCTAAATGCTCCACTCTTATTATCCCACAGGCACACCTCGGGCTTTAGAATCTTAACATGTTAACAGACATTTATGCAGGGTCTACTTTGAGGCAAGTACTGCATGGGGTGTGCGTGAAACAAAAATAAATAGGCTACTTATGTTTCTGCCCTGAAAAAGCACACAATTAGCTACAGAATGAGAAAGGCAGCATGCTGGAGGATGGTGTTTTGTTGGAATGTTAACCTGAAAAATAAAACTGTCAGTTATTTTACTAGCAAAAATGGGTTTAGTAGGGAATAACAGGATTACAATTCGGGACATGCAAGCTATGGCAAAACCATGGGCAAGTTTAACAAACAAAAAAGAGGAACATTACTTTGCATGGAAGAAGGAGGAGGCTGGGAGGGGTTATTCTGAACAAAAGTCCATTGTGGGGGGGGGGTGGGGAGGGAGGAAGTCCAGGTGATGAAGGTTTCTAATGGGCTGAACTACAGCAGTAGAAGATCTTGTAGAAGTACCTGGTAGGAGACACAATATACATCTTTCCCTAGCAGGGGCTGGTAATTGATAATTCTTTCATGCTGATGATTCTTCTTTTGGGGGTCTGTAATTGACAATTCTTCCTGTAATTCAAGTTGAGTGGAAAGGCTTCACCTCCTAACTCCCTTTTCTCTCCTCCTTTCTCCATTTTAGTGAGGTTTCCCTTTATTAATATTCACAGAAGCAAATGATGCTCCAGTTTGTCTTAAAGGTTGAAACACTGCGCCAAGTGAAGAGCGTGGGAAAGAGGATAGGGCAGCATTCCAGGCAGCAGGAGCAAAGAGAGAGCATTCAAACATCTCCAGCTGCTTAGTGTGACTGGAAGGAAGGTGGCAGGGTTAAGTGGTGGGAAAAGAGGCCAGACTGTCAATAGTTTATTAAGTGATGCCAGGATTTTCCCTCCCGAAAGTAATAGGTAGCCTTTAATAGATTTTAGATAGGGGAATAATCAGCTATTTCTCTAGAAAGATCAGTCGGGTAGCATTATCAGAGATGGTTTGGAAGCGGGGGAAAATGGAATCAGGCAAGTGAACTATGAACCTGTTGAAGTGATTGGAGCAGGCAGGAGAAATAGTGACTGAGACGGAAAGCCTCTGTAAAGACCCATCCTACACGGACTTCTCTGATTACATTAGTTTCCAACGTCAACCTCCCACCCCACCTCCACCCAAATTCCTACAGCACTTGTGAAATCTGTGGCCCAAATTTATGCACTTAATTATATTTTCTTTTACTCCCTACTTGCTTCTTATACGTTACTCAAGTCTTTAGATAATACGACAGGCGTTTATGGAACTGGAAGGGCTTGTACATCGTCCGAGGTCCGATAATGCACTCAGTCGCGCAGGGTAGTAAGGCCCAGCTCACAGCTACTAGAACCGGAGGGCTGATTGAGTCATATCACCTTCTTGCTGATCAAACTGTCGCCCTTCTCCTGAGACCGAGCGGGAGGATACCTCAAAAATGGCTCCATTAAAAAAAAAGAAGAAAAAGGTTCCATAGCTATTAGGCCCTCTGCGTCCACCAGAGGGCGCGTCTCCGCAGGTTTCCTCACTGAGGGACGCTTGAACATTCGGTTCTCAAGAGCAAATGAACCCTGCTGTATTGAGGCCCTCTGCGGTTGCCGTAGCCCCAGACAGCGCACAGGAAGTAGAATTCGAGAGTCGGGTGAAAAAGGTACTAGGGACTCAGAGCGGATGGTCCTCTCCTGCAGTTGCGTGCGGTTTCAGGGAATCTGCAGTATTATTTTGGGGCCTCCCTCGCCAGTTCGTTCTCCAGTGGAGATATCTGGCCCTTAGACAGCTCTCGCGTCTTTACACAGAGTGTCCCCAGAGCTATGGCCGAATACTCGTATGTGAAGTCCACCAAACTCGTGCTCAAGGGAACCAAGGCTAAGAGGTAAGGCCAAAGTTTGTGCGGGAGACTGGCTCTTTTCTGACAGCACTCCGCCCTCGCCTCCTCTCCCCCGTGGAGAATCTCACAGAAGCCTTAGAGAGCTGTAATTCAGGCTCCCAACCTTTAGGCCTGGCCTCTGGTCCTGCATGGACCGATCCTGCGACTCGGTTCCGGGTACCTGTACAGAGCTGGAGAGACGGGCCGCGGGAGATGGGCCCTGACTGTCGCGCCTTCAAAAGGGAGGAGACAGGAGAGCGGAACCAGTAGCCCAGGAACCACAAGTTTGGGTCCCTTGATAAGGGAACCAAGACCCTCCAGACCTCCGCAGCCTTAGTCTGATGATGTAGATCATAACAATAACTTCCTTTATTAGAGATACTTATTTTCACCATTGTTTCCCTCCCCCCTAAAAAAATTCCTTGATTTTAAAATACAGTATGCAGATGTGGGTTTTGACAGGGATATGGGCTGAAATCTGGATTCCCACCAGTTGCTAGTTTTGCAATTTGTGCAAGTTCGTTAGTATCCTTGAGCTTACACTGACTCGTTCATTAGGAAAAATTGATGGTACTGTAAAAGAATTATGATGAGGATTAAATGAGATAACATGTACAGTAAGTAAGTAGAGTCAGTAATAAGAAGCTTGTAGGGGTGATTTATGATGATTAGAGTTTTAGGAAAAGGTATCTGCTCACTCATATCTCCACCTCTCTTTTCACTGGTAGATCTGCTTAGAGTTGGTTATTCATACAATTATTAAGCATTTCAGCAGGTCTCGGTGATAGTTTTCGGTACTTTTAGGTAAGATGAAGGGAAGTGTTAAGGAGCAATTCTGCCTACAGTTCTGGAATCACAAAGAACTTACCCTGAATAAATCCGAAGAACTTGTACTGTCTGAATTTACAAGAGAGAGGGGAGAGTCGTCTTCTGAAAGCTTACATTTGATGAAAATACAAACAAGTGTGCCTTCTTATAATTCTCACAACTCTCAATCATTATCAACACACACAGAGCCACTTTCTGTGTGCCAAGAACTATTCTACCTATTCTTTAATATAATTTTTTTGAACCACTCTGTTTTTTTTTATTACTGAGATATAATACATATGTCAGAAATTCACCCTATAAAGTACAATTTTGTGGGTTTTAATGTGTTGACAAAATTCAGCACTATTAAGTTGCTAAACATTTTCATCTTGGGAAGGAAATCCCATGATCATTAGCAGTCACTCTCCATTCCACTGTTTCCCTAGTCCTGGCAACTACTAATCTGATTTCCGTCTGCATCAGTTTATTCTGCATATTTCATATAAACGGAGTCATATAGTGTGCCGTCTTTGTATCTAGCTTCATCCGTGTTGTAGCGTGTATTCGTACTCTTATTTTTATGGCTGAATAATATTCTATTGTGTAGTGTAGATATAACGCATTTTGTTTTTCCATTCATCAGTTGATGGACATTTCGGTTGTTGCCACTTTTTGGTTATTATGAATAATGCTGCTTTGAATATTCTAATAAAATTTTTATGTGGACGTGTGTTTTCATTTCTGATGTTAGGACATGTGTTTTCATTTCTGGTAACTCTGTGTTTAACTTTTCGAAGAACCCAAACTATTTTATAAAGTGGCTATACCATTTTACATTTTCACCAGCAACATATGAAAGTACAGGTCTTCTCTTAATCCTCAAAACAATCTTAAGAACTTAGTTAAATTATTATCCTCCTTTTATAGGTGAGAAACTGACAGGGATTAAGTAAATTTTCCAAAAGTCACAGAGCTAAGAAATGACAATATCAAGATTAAAAAAGCAGTCTGACTTCAGAATCTGTTGTCTTAACTATAACACAATGCATACAGGATCAGAAGTGACTTCTCAATATTAGAAATAAGAAAGTATATCAGTGTACATAACTAAATCAATAATTCGTATATCTATGTACAGCTTAAAAGATTCTTCTAAGATTGCATCTTGAGACACTTAACATCAGATCAATATTTCTGAACTCATCTATATGAATTATCTCCTGCAGTAAGAAGAAAAAGAGTAAAGAGAAGAAGAGAAAAAGAGAAGAAGATGAAGAAACTCAACTTGATATCGTTGGTAGGTTTCCTATACTTTATTCTGAGAAAAGTTAACATTGGTTGAGATGCCTTTAAAAATATTTTCCTACTTAGGGATAAGTAGTTCAAAGAAACTCAAAAGAACTTGTGACCTATGCATAGTTTTCTTAAAGTTTTCAATATTATTTAAAGTTATGGATTCCTTTTATTGCCTGGCACAGTAGATGTCACTGATGCCTTTTTTTATTATCAGGACAAGGCATGGAGAGAAGAAATATAGCTCATTAGACTACCTAATATCCCACAGATCTGGTACATAATTTTAAAGGCCAGATATAGATAAATATTATTTAATTAAATATATTTCACAAATTTTCTTTGAACATGTATGCATTTTTAAAAAGATTTTATTTATCTGAGAGAGAAAGAAGAGAGCACGAGCAGGGGAAAAGGTGGAAGGAGAAGCAGACTTACATAGGGCTCAATCCCAGGACCCCACGATTATGACCTGAGCCAAAGGCAGACACTTAACTGACCGAGCCACTCAGGCATCCCTGAACATTTATGCATTTTGATTGTAGAAGCCAGTGATAAGTATGTCCCCAAAGGAACAGTAAAAATAACTCACAGTAAAAATGATTCTTTTATATATTATGAAATAAATGAAAATCTTAAAGCATCAAGGTAGCCTGGAAGTGCTGCCAGAGATAAACTGACCCAAACACATTTAACCAGCCTGCTTTCTGATCCTTTCCATATCTATACTTTAAAGCAATTTGTTCCTCTCTGAAAACATGGCCAGTCACGTTTTGAAATTTCATAAATTTTGGCTCCTTTACACTTTATATGAAATGGGATAAAGATAATATTCTAGAAAAATCTCACCTTTTTTTGAAATAGCAAATCAACAGTTCTAATATTAGTGTAAATATCTTGGATAGGTATCTAGAGATGGAATTGCTATGTCAACAAATAGGTGGATATTTAGCGATGTAAGTAATCACCAAGAATTTTCTAAGGTGGTTGTACCATTTTATACTCGCACCAAAAAGTAATACAGTTCTGTTATCAATCTTCCCTCCCAGTCTGTGGTTTGACTTTTAATTTGCTTAAATGTTATTTCTCTGAAAGCAAAAGTTAGATTTTTTTTTTCAATTATAGTAAAATTGACATACAACATAGTATTAGTTTTAGGTATACAATATAATGACTTGATATATGTGTATAGAAATTTTTATAAAACCGTATTTATTATTTTTTTTCTATTATGGCTACCACCTTGCATCTTTAATCTGAGAAACTATTGCTTAACCCCAAGGTCATGAAGAAATTCTTCCACATTTTCTGTAAGAGACTTCAGTTTTAGTTTTTATATTAGATCTGTGATCTATCTGAAATTAAATTTTGGTCTGGAGTGAATTACGGGTCAGTAATTTTCATTTTTTCATAATGATATCCACTTGTTCTAGCACCACTGTTGAATAGACTTTTCTTTCTTCATTAAACTGCCTTGATATCTCTGTAAAAAATCAATTGACTTTATATGGGTTGGTATAATTTTCGACTCTGTGTTCCGTTGATTTGTCTGTTGTTCTGATACTTTTGTGTTGATTACTGTCATTTCATAATGTTTTGAAATCAGGTGAGGTCTTCAGGGTTCATCCATGTTGTAGCATGTGTCAGAATTTCCTTCCTTTTAAGACTGAGTAATACTCCATTGTGTGTATATACTGCATTTCATTTAACCATTCATCTTTCAGTGAACACGTAGGTTACTTCACTTTTGGCCTATTGTGAATAATTCTTCTAGGAATATGGGTGTTCAGATATCTCTTCAAGACTTTGCTTTCTGTTCTTTTGGACACATACCTGGAAGTGGAATTGCTGGATCATATGGTAATTCCATTTTTAATTTTGTGAGAACTGTTTTCCATAGTCACTGTACCATTTTACATTCCCACCAGCAGTGCATAAGGGTTTCGATTTCTCCATATCCTCACCAATATTTGTTATTTCTGGTTCTGTGATAGTAGCCATCCTAGTGGGTATGAAATAGTATCTCATTATGGTTTCAGTCTGTATTTCCTCAGTGAATTGCAATATTTAGTAATTTTAATGTGCTCATTGCTCATTTGTGTATTTTCTTTGGAGAAATACCTATTCAAGTCCTTTGCCCATTTTTTGAAATGGGTTGTGTTATTGTTGAGTTTTAAGAGTTCTTTATATATTCTGGATCTTAATCCCTTAAGATATGTGATGTACAAATATTTCCTTCTATTCTGTGTTGTCTTTTTACTCTCTTGATAGTGTCCTGTGATGCACAAAAGTTTTTCTTTTTTTCTTTCTTTTTTTAGAGGGGGAGATGGATGTGGGGGAGGGGTAAAGGGAGAGGGAATCTTAAGTAGGTTCCAGGCCTAGTCCAGAGCCTGACTTGGGGCTCAATCTCACAACCCTGAGATCACTACCTAAACTGCAATCAAGAGTCAGATTCATAACTGACTGAGGCACCCAGGTGCCCCCAAAGTTATTCATTTTGATGAGTCTAATTGGTCTAATTTTTCTTTTGTTGTTTGTGCCTTTGATGTCATATCCAAGAAATGATTGCCAAATCCCATTTTGTGAGGTTTCTACCATATGTTTTCTTATAAGAGTTTTATGGTTTTAGCTCTTAAATTTAGGTCTTTGATCCATTTTGAGTTGATTTATATATATGAAACTAGGTAAAAGTCCAACTTAATGTAAGTGAAATTTTACTAATTTTTTGTTGGGTATTTAAAGCCTTTCTTGTTTAGATAAATAGGAAATCTTATGCACTGTGATAAACTCAATTTTTAAAAACTTTGTAATTTGGATGCTTTCAAACTAATACATAAGTAGATAGGAGAATATAATGAATTTTCCATGTGTCCATACCCCCAGCATTCCTTCTTTTGCCAATCTTATTTCACTTACATACTTGCTTACTCTGAGATAATATCCTATCCACAGTTTTTTTCTGGAGAATAAAATTTATTTTAGAGAGTGTGTGCATGAGTGGGAGGAGGGACAGAGGGAGAGGGAGAGAATCTCAAGCAGACTCCCTCCCGCCCTACTGCGGGGGCTCAATCCCTGAGATCATGACCCGAGCTGAAATCAAGAGTTGGTTGCTCAATGGGCTGAGCTACCCAGGGGCCCCATTTTTTTTTCTGAAGAATTTTAAAGTATAACAGAATATTATGTCATTCTACCCATATATACATAAATGTGCAGTACTGATAAAGTCAGTCTCACTCTCTTTCCTTCTGTTTTGCTCTCTTACTTTTTTTTAAGATTTTTATTTATTTATTTGACAGAGAGAGAATACAAGCAGAGGGAGTGGGAGAGGGAGAAGCAGGCTCCCTGCTCAGCAGGGCTCAGTCCTGGGACCCTCAGATCATGATCTGAGCCAAAGGCAGATCCTTAACCAACTGAGTCACCCAAGCGCCCTGCCGTCTCTTTTAATACATAAGAGTATATCACTATCAGACCTAATAAAATTATCCAGAGTTCCTAATGTCATCTAATATCTTATTAATGACTGACACATTTCTCCTTTAGCTAATGGACAATTTAGCTTCATAATCAACAGTGAAAATCTGAAAGCTTTTCGTCTAAGATCAAGAATAAGACAAGGATACCTAGTCTTACTGCTTTTACTCAACATAGTATTGGCAGCCCTAGCCAAAGCAAGTAGGCAAAAAAGAAAGGAAGAAAAGGCATCCAAATCAGAGAGGGAGAAATAAAACTGTCACTATTGGCAGATGACATGATCTTATACATAGAAAACCCTAAAGATTGCACCAAAAAACCATTAGAACTAATAAATGAATTCAATAAAGTTGCAGGATATAAAATCAACATACAAAAATCTGTTACATTTCTATACATTAATACTTCATTACCAGAAAGAGAAATAAGAAAACTAATCCTATTTACAGTTGTACCAAAGACAACAAAATACCTAAGAATAAATTTAACCAAGGATGTGATAGATCTGTACATTGAAAGTATGACATTGATAAAAGAATTTGAAGAAGACACATATAAATGGAAAGATATTCCATGTTCATGGATCAGAAGAATTAAATTGTTAAAATACTTACACTACCTCAAAGCAATCTACAGATTCAGTGCAATCTCTGTCAAATTCCAGTGGCATTTTTCACGAATAATGAACAAACAATCCTCAAATTTGTAAGGAACCGCAGAAGATCCCAGATAGCTAGCAGTCTTAAGAAAGAAGAACTAGGCTGGAGGTACCACACTTCTGATTTCAAACAATACTACAAAAAAACAAAAACAAAAACAAAAAAAAACCTAATCAAAACAGTTTGGTATTAGCATAAAAACAATACATAGATCAACAGAACAAAAAGTCCAGCAATAAACTCATGCAATAAACATAGGAGCGCATCTATCTTTTCAAATTAGTGTTTTTGTTTTCTTTGGGTAAATACCCAGTAGTGGAATTTCAGGATCATGTAGTGATTCTATTTTTAATTTTGTGAGGAAACTCCGTACTCTTTTCCACAGTGGTTGCACCAATTTGCAGTCCTACAAGGATTCCTTTTTCTCCATGTCATTTCACATCTTCAACGCTTATTATTGTCTTTTTTTGTTTTGTTTTAGCCATTACAGCAGGTGTAAGGTAGTATCTCATTGTGGTTTTAATTTGTATTTCCCTGATGATTAGTCATGTTAAGCATGTTCTATGTGTCTGTTGGCTATCTATGTCTTATTTGGAAAAATTTCTGTTCAGGTCCTCGATCAATTTTTTAATTGGATTATTTGCTTTTTTTGGTATTGAGTTGTAAAAGTTCTTTATATAGTTTGAATATTAACTCCTTATTGGATATATCATTTGTAACTAGCTTCATCCATTCTGTAGGTTGTCTTTGTTTTGTTAATGGTTTCCTTCACTGTGGAAAAGCTTTTTGTTTTGGTGTAGTCTCAGTAGTTTAATTTTGCTTTTGTTTCCCTTGCCAGAGGAGAGATATAAGAAAAACGTTTCTACGGCTGATGTCAAAGAATTAGGAGGGATATTTCCTGTGTTTTCTCAGAAATTTTATGGTTTCAGATCTCACATTTAGGTCTTTAATCTATTTTGAGTTTATTTTTGTATATGGTATAAGAAAGGGGTCCAGTTTTCCCAGCACCATTTGTTGAAGATGGTCTTTTCCCCATTCTGTATTCTTGCCTTCTTTTGTCATAAATTAATTTACCGTACAAGTGTTGGTTTATTTCTAGACACTCATTTCTGTTCCATTGATTTGTATGTCTGTATTTGTCAGTACCATAATGCTTTGTAGTATATCTTGAAATGTGGGATTGTGATACCTCCAGCTTTATCCATTTTCAGGATTGCTTTGGCTATTTGGGATCTTTTGTGGTTCCATACAAATTTTAGGATTATTCTAGTTCTGTGAAAAATGTTATTGGTATTTGGATAGAGATTGTATTGAATGTGCAGCATGAGTAGGTGGATGGGAGAAATAGGTGAAGGGGAATTGAGAGTACACTTATCTTGATGAGCACTGAGAAATGTATAGAATCGCCGAGTCATTATATTATACATATGAAACTAATATAATACCATTTGTTAATTATATTTGAATTAAAATGAATTAAAAAAGAAACCCATTTCGGGGCGCCTGGGTGGCTCAGTGGGTTAAAGCCTCTGCCTTCGGCTCAGGTCATGATCCCACGGTCCTGGGATCGAGCCCCACATCGGGCTCTCTGCTCAGCAGGGAGCCTGCTTTCTCCTCTCTCTCTCTGCCTGCCTCTCTGCCTACTTGTGATCTCTGTCTGTCAAATAAACAAATAAAAATTAAAAAAAAAAAATCTTAAAAAAAAGAAAAAGAAAAAGAAACCCATTTCTGTTCATGTATATAGAATACATAGTTTCTGCTCATATTGTTTCTAATCTAAAATCATGGTTAAGAATACTGTCCTAGACCACAAAAAAAAAAAAAGAAATCTTGCCATTTGCAACATGATGGAACTAGAGAGCATTATGTTAAGTTAGAAAAAAATAAATACCATATGATTTTCACTCATATGTGGAAGTCAGGAGACAAAACAGATAAACATAGGAAAAAAGAGAAAGAGAGAGAGAGAGAGAGACAAACCAGAAAACAGACTCTTAATTACAGAGAACAAATTGAAGGTTGCCGGAGGGGAGGTGGGCTTGGAAATGGGTTAAATGGGTGAAGGATATTGAGGACTGCACTTATTGTGATAAGCAGAGTGTTATAAGTGATGGATTACTAAATTCTGTACCTGTAACTAATATTACGCTGGATGTCAACTAACTGGAATTTCAATAAAAACTTGAAAAAAATTAAAAAAGAATACTATGTTAGAAAGTCTTTTTGGGGGTGCCTGGTGGCTCAGTGGGTTAGGCATCTGCCTTGGTTGGGCTCGGGTCATGATCCCAGGGTCTTGGGATCGAGCCTCGCATCGGGCTGTCTGCTCAGTGGGGAGCCTGCTTCCCCCCTCTCTCTGCCTCCTGCTCTGCCGACTTGTGATCTCTCTCTCTGTCAAATAAATAAAATCTTTAAAAAAAAAAAAAAGTCTTTTTGGAGGGATATGTAAGGGACAGGTTATAATAGTCATTGCCTCTAGAAAGCAGTCATGGATGGCTGGGGAGGAAATCAAAGAGACTGTTCTCCATCATTTTGTGCCTTCACATGTACTGCTTTTTTATATTTTGAAAAGAATGTAATCTTAATTTTGGGTGGTGGTCACCTATATCCATACATACTGACATGCAAATGAATGTATGTAAAATGGATGAAATCTGTATAAGGTTCATAGTTTGTATAAAGGATAATTTCCTGGTTTGGACAGTGTACTATAATTATATAAGATATTACCACAGGGAGAAGTGAATAAAGGACAGATGAGATCTCTCTGTATTATTTCTTATAACTGCAAAATAAAAAGTTTTAAAAAATAAGTTATAACAACAAGAACAACAAATAAGAACCTTGTGTCAAATCTAAAATTAAATTTAAAATATTGATTTTATTTTTTAGGAATCTGGTGGACAGTAACAAATTTTGGTGAAATATCAGGAACCATAGCAATTGAAATGGATAAAGGAACCTACATACATGCACTTGACAACGGACTTTTTACACTGGGAGCTCCACATAAAGAAGGTTTGTGTCTAGTAGAAACAGTGGAAGGGAAAAGACCACTTAAAGTATGTATTTTAGGGATGCCTGGGTAGCTCAGTCAGTTAAGCGTCCGTCTTTAATTCAGGTCAGGATCCCAGGCTCCTGGGATCGAGTCCTGTATAGGGCTCCTTGCTCAGCAGAGAGCCTGCTTCTCCCTCTGCCTGCTGCTCCCTCTGCTTGTGCTCTCTCTCTGTCTCTCTCAAATAAAATTTTATAAAAAACATTTTTAAAAAGCGTATATTTTATGACAGTTATTCACTTAGGCCAAATTCTAACATCTCAAGTATAGTACAAGGAATAAATCCATTGCATTTGACTCTTCCCCTTTTTTCCTTCCTTAATATTTACCAATTATTGGCAAATCCCTCTTTCCATTATAAGCCTGTGAAAACATTCTTTATGGTTCCAGAAAAGTATCAATTGAAATCAAAAGCAACATAAATAATTGAATTGAAAGGGAAACATAGTTGAGTCAAAGATTTGATATCTTTATTCTTTAGACCTTTTGCCAAAACTAACCTGGAACATTATTAACAGTTTGAAGTTTTGTTATCCCTTCTGGTCCACCAGAATAAGCACTAATGAGACATGAAGTAATCAGAAGATTAAAAGCAGTATCTTTAAGTATGAATGACCATCCCTTGAATAAGTTACAGCATTTAGTTTTTTAAATATTAAATGCTGGGGTGCCTGGATGGCTCAGTCGTTAAGCGTCTGCCTTCAGCTCTGGTCATGATCCCAGGGTCCTCGGATCGAGCCCTGCATTGGGCTCCCTGCTCGGCGGGAAGCCTGCTTCTCCCTCTCCCACTCCCCCTGCTTGTATTCCCTCTATCACTGTCTCTCTCTCTGTCAAATAAATAAACAAAATCTTTTAAAAATAAATAAATATTAAATGCTTGTTTATATACCGAGGGCATTTTAAAACACAAAAAGAAAATATAACTGATTAAGCATCATGCTGACTTACCTATTAAGTATGTAAAACTAACACTGTAGTTATAAGAAGATAAAGTAGAACTTGATACTCTAATCTGAATAGTGTATTATGATTATATCAAAATATTATAGTATTCTTATATTTAATTTTAAAAGAAAACCTTTTTTTTTTTAAAGATTTTTTTTTTTATTTATTTAACAGAGAGATACACAGAGAAGGAACACAAGCAGGGGGAATGGGAGAGGGAGAAGCAGACTTCTCACCAAGCAGGGAGCCCAATGTGGGATTCAATCCCAGGACCCTGGGATCATGGCCTGAGCCGAAGGCAGACGCTTAATGACTGAGCCACCCAGGTTCCCCAAAAGAAAACTTTTTTTAAAGCTGAAGATTATTTTTATGTGTATATTGGTAACAAATAATTTTAAAGTATTTTTTTCCTCTATAGTTGATGAAGGCCCAAGTCCTCCAGAGCAGTTTACAGCTGTCAAATTGTCTGATTCCAGGTAAGTAAGTTGAACTATAATTAATCACCTTTTATTTTTTTAATTTAATTTTATTTACTGAAAAATTTCTATATATAGCTAATTAAGTAAGCTAACTTAAGTTCACAGACCAATTTTGATGTAAAAAGCAAAACAATCTTTTTGAAAGTATATTTTGTGACATTTTAAAAATACGACATTTATATATGCTATATTTAGGTATTATTAAATTTCATTTGTAACAACTGTGTCTTTGAAAGAGAATGAAAGCGGGGCACCTTGGTGGCTCAGTTGGTTGAACCTTCAGCTCAGGTCATAATCCTGGAGTCCTGGCATCAAGTCCTGGCTTCTCCCTCTGACCCTCCCCTTCTCATGCTGTCTCTCTCTCTCTCTCTCTCAAATAAGTAAAATCTTAAAAGAAAAGAGAGAGAGAATGAAAGCTCCAAATAAAAACATACCCTATGATTCCTACCAATATATAATACTAGACTAGAAAAAAATGAGTATTAATAATGTCACAGACCAAATAAGATATAGATTAGAAAGCTCATGCAAAGAAAATAGACATAAGACAAAACCGGGTTTGATGTTACTATGATACATAAACTCACTTGTCAGAAGTCAAGAGATAAAAAGAATAAAGGAATATTATTAAAATTATTAAAATCAGTAAAGAATGTTACGTAGTCATGAAGACCAAAAGAATATTCTGTTTTTACAATCATTTTATAAGCTGACCTTTTTTATTCTCACAGTGCCAAAGTATAGAATGATACTTTGGGTAGTGCATACAGAAATTGAATTTCAGTATGCTAATAATTGGCTGCATCAACATGATAATGATTTGTATTATATGATCATTAACCTGTAGATGAATATAAAATCAATCGCTTGGCATCACAAGGGATTGGGTAAGCTAAAACTTAAGAATCATATTTTTTTCTTTAAAAAACATCACATGAAGATTATCATTCCTATACTCTGAGTGGCCAATAAGTACAGTGAAAGACTTTTTTATTTATTTAATATTTTATTTATTTATTTATTTATTTACTTTGGAGAGAGCAAGTGAGCACTGGGCGGGGGTAGGGAGAGGGAGAAGCAGACTCCCTGCTGAGTGGGGAGCACAGAGCCCACTATGGGGCTTGTGGGGCTCTATCCCAGGACCACAAGATCACTTGAAGTCAGTGTCTGAAGTCAGACACTGAACTGACTGAGCTACCCAGGTGCCTGAGAGACTTAAAGAATAAAAGCAGAAGAAAATCAATAAACTCAAACTTCTTTACAGTTGAAAACAAAAGATATAAAATAGGCAAATGTGGAAAATATTTGCAACAGCATTAACAGCAATGATTTTTTATTCTTTGTATGTACATACAGGATTCATAACTCTAAGGAAAACAGTAAAATACCAATAGAAAAAATGGACAAAAAGATAAAACCTAAAAAGGAAAGGAAGTGCAAATGTCACTTTACGATGGTTAGAAGATAAATTAAATAGGATACTATTTTTCCTGTATCTGATATTCTAATTTTTTCTTAAAAAAGGTATAATGTTAATAGATCCATGATGAAATGATAACTCTCCTGATTTGAGGTGAGAATGTTAAGTTGATACAGAGGAAAGCAGTTTGATACCATGTAATAGGAGCTTTATAAGTACAATATAAAATTATATAAATAGAACTACACTGTCCGATATGGTAGTCACTAGCCACACATCACGTGGCTTTTGAAAATTTGGACTGTGGCTAGCCTGGATTTTTATACACACACATTATTTTTATGTTCCATATTTAATTTTCTTGCTCTCAGTTTTTAACATTTCCTTTTTGTTAATCTAAAGAATTGCCCTGAAATCTGGCTATGGAAAATACCTAGGTATTAATTCAGATGGACTTGTTGTGGGGCGTTCAGATGCAATTGGACCAAGAGAACAATGGGAACCAGTCTTTCAAGATGTAAGTGCTATTATTGTTCATAAAAGCTTCTTGTCAATGTAAGATAGTCTTTAATATTCAGTGAGAATATATAGTCTAAAAAAAAAACCAGAAGTACAGTGCAATAATATAACCCACTAAATTGAAGAAAACCAATATGAACTTATAACCTTAAAAAGGTCTTGAAAATCAGTGCAACACAGCAAAAGAAATAATCAAACAAAGTGAAAAGACAAACTATAGGATGAGAAAAAATATTTGCAAACCATTTTTCTGATAAGGGGTTAATATCCAAAATATATAAAGAGCTGATACAACTCAATAGCAAAGAAACAAATAACCCAATTAAAAAATGGGCAAAGACCTTTTTCCCAGAAAAGATATATATGAAAGGCCAACAGGTACATGAAAAGATGCTCAACATCACTAGTCATTAGAGAAATGCAAATCAGAAGCACAGTAAGGTATCACTTCATACCTGTTACAATGGCCCTCTTCAAAAAGATGAGATAAATGCTAGAAGGATGTGGAGAAAAGGGAACCTTCATGCACTGCTGGTGGGAATGCAAACTGATGCAGCCACTGTGGAAAATAGTATGGAGGTTCCTCAAAAAATTAAAAATAGAATTATTGTAAGATCCAACAATCCCACTTGTGAAAATACATCCAAAAGAAACCAAAAAAACTAACTTAAAACAATACTTGCACCCCCATGTTCATACTGGCATTACTTTTAAGAGTAACTATGGAAATAATCTAAATGTCCACTGATAGATAAATGGATAAAGAAGTTGTGTTATATATATATATGCAATGGAATATTGTTCTGCCATAAAAGATGAGTAAATCTTGCTATTTACAACAACAAATGGACCTTGCTAAGTAAAATAAATCAGAGAAAGACAACTGTATGATCTCACTTATATATGGATCTTAAAAACAAAACAAAACAAAACTCAGAAAAAGACATCAGACTTGTGGTTGGTTACCAGAGTAGCAGGTGTTGGGATTAGGAATTAGAGGAAGAAGGTGGTCAAAAGGTACAAACTTCCAGTTACAGGATTAATATAAGTGCCATGGATATAACGTATAACATGATTACTTCAGCTAACTCTGCTGTATGATATACAGGAAAGTTGTTAAGAGACTAAATCCTGAGTTCTCATCACAAGGAAAAAAATCGTTTTCCTTTTATGCTTTCTTTTTATTATTAACTGCATGAGATGATGGATGTTAACCAAAACTTATTAAGATAATTATTTCACAGTAAGTGTTAAGCCAAATCATTATGCTATACACCTTAAATTTATGCAGTGATTATGTCAATTATATCTCAGTAAAACTGGGGGAGGAAATAGTGCAAAAAATTAGCAGTAGTACCTCTGCCCACCATCATTTCTGTCCAAAACTCTCTGACATTGATTCTTAAAGTTCTGAGCAGTAAATTCAAAAGCACCAAAAGCTAGCTCTTATAAATTTTTATATTTTCTAATTATGAAGAAAATCTTACTTAAAACACTATTATTTGAGTAAATTACTATGCATTATATAATTTTTTATTATCTTTAAAAGCTGATTATTTTTCAAACAGAACTAATTCAGTTATATCCTCAATTGATCTTTAAGGCTGAAGGAAACAATGCTATTTCATCTAGTTAGAATTTAGTCCTACTAATAGTATATACTAAAAATATTTATTGGGTTATTTTTGAGTAGTAAGATTATAGGTGATTTTGGTTTTCTTTTCTGTATTTTTTTTTTTTTCTGTATTTTCTCCAAATTCTCTTTACTGATTACTTTTACAGTTGGGGCTAAGGGGCAGAATTCATTTCATTCTCAAGACTTAAGAATTCTTTTACAGGGGCGCCTGAGTGGCTCAGTGAGTTAAAGCCTCTGCCTTTGGCTCAGGTCATGATCCCAGGGTCCTGGGATCGAGCCTCACATCAGGCTCTCTGCTCGGCGGGGAGCCTGCTTCCTCCTCTCTCTCTGCCTGCCTCTCTGCCTACTTGTGATCTCTGTCTGTCAAATAAATAAATAAAATCTTTACAAAAAAAAAAAATTCTTTTGCAGTAGTCTTGTAACTTTTTTGCTATTTTTTATATAGGGGAAAATGGCTTTATTGGCCTCAAATAGCTGCTTTATTAGATGCAATGAAGCAGGTGATATAGAAGCAAAGAGTAAAACAGCAGGAGAAGAAGAAATGATAAAGGTAATTGTGATCTATTTTGTTCTTTTTTATAAATTGCTTTCTTCTTAATTTTTCTATGACTAATACATGTCACATATATGATGTGACCATATCTCTTAATAATGTTCAGTAGTCATTTGCTATTACTTTAAAGATGTAATGCATAGTTTTTTATACTATGCTCCTAATAAGCTTTATTATAAAAAGCTTAATTATAAATCCTATAACCGATGGCTTATATGTACCATGTGTGAGAGAAATTATTATATCTTACCTCCATGTATTAGTACCTTTTTCTGAGTAGTTCCACATGCTTTTTAGTACTCTATTTTTTTTTGCTTGCTTGCATTTTAAAATTTAATAGATATGTTCACATGGTTCAAAATTTTAAAAATATAAGCATATAAAGACATGACTCCCATTCTTCTCTAGCCTACCAGTTCTTAATAAAAATATATGTTTATAATTTTCTACTTTTTTACAATAAAGTTAGGCTCCTGCATATACTCCTTTAGACCTTTATTTTCTTTTTTTCCTTAATGTTTTTATCTTGGAGATTTTCCCTTATCAATTACTATGCAGAAAATTTTCTCTTTTTAATAGCTATATAATATTCCATTTTAGGGATATGCCTTAATTTATTTAGTCAGTTCCTCATAAATGCTGATTTAGGTTACTTCCAGTCTTTTGCTCTTAGAACCAGTGCTGTAACACAAAACTTTGGATATGCATCATTCTGTAGGTGTACAGGTATATCTGAGGAAAAAGTCCCCAAAACAGAAATACAAGGTAATTATGTAATTATAATCACATTAAAAAAACCACACACACAAACCAAAACAGAAGCCAGTAGCTGCAGGTACTCTGCTGAATGTGACTCCTGCACTCTTCTTGAATCTTTTTTAATTCCTGTGAGTTACCTGTTATCTTAACTTTACTGATGAGGAGAGAGACTTTGAGCCTCCTTATATCCTCACCTGCTATAGTCATCATGAAACTCACACAGCTAGATCGGATAGAGACAGGATGTGTACCCAGGCCCAGCTGACTGGAAACTACTCTGACACTCCATACCATACTTCTTGTCATTAGAAAAGATCAGGTCATTAGAAAAATGCTGGTGGATTTCTCACTTATCTAAAAGTATGATTTTTGAAGACAATGCAAATAAAGTGCAGCATTTTGTACTTTTATGGGGGGGGGGACTATGGTGTATTTAATTATAACTGTTTTCATATGATGTATCTGTCACATTTCCCAAGGGTCTGTTTGGTTAGTCAAGTACCTGGAAGCTCTGAGCAGTGATAATCCAGAACTCCTTCTACCTTGCATTTTACTTCATAGGCTCTGCTAATCTGGATCAGCCATGCACCTTTATAGACTATCAAGACACATTACCTCCTGCCAAAAGTAGTATTGTCACAGACCCTGGACGGTAGTAATTTCCCCAGGTCTGCTAGGACTCTGCTACCCAAACTTGTCACACAGGTAGCACTAGGACATACTTCATTGGTCAGCACTTTCTAAGAAGCCTTGGAGTTGGACTCTGAGCCACAAAGATGACTTTGGAGATGTAAATCCTTGGAGATGTAAATTCTGTCCTCTGTGTTGCAAATTGCCAGTTCCTGAAGCCTGAATTATGTCCACTTCCTGTCAGACTCAGTAGATCATACTTGCTATATCAGTTTATGGCATTGATAGTAATTATCTGTCACAACTTAGGAGGATATAAGGAAGAATTAAAAGGAGTGGATTCCAATTAAGTGAAAGTAGTCTGTGTCATGTTAAAAGTTTAAATGGATTTGGGAATAGCTATGCAAATTAAAATAGCTATCTTAAACTTTCAGTGTTATAAAAAATAAAAAATATGATAATTGGAATATTTACTTTGAGGCCAAACTAATTAAATTATTGCCTAATTGGTCAGCAGGACCTGATCTATAAAATGTTTTTCAAATAATTTTATTTTTTATATCTGATGCAAAGGCTCTAGAGAAACATAACCGATTATTTATATAAATTATACATATATAAATAAAAACATATCTAGAACCTGTCTTTTTCTGAATTTGATTGCTAAGTTGTTTTCTTCATTTGCATAAGAAATCACCTACAGGGTTCTTAGGAAATAAGTAAAGTGGGGAAGAGGGGAGATAGATGTATAATCTGTTCAGTTCTCATCTCTATTGTCCAGATTAGATCTAAGTAAAGTGGGGAAGAGGGGAGATAGATGTATAATCTGTTCGGTTCTCATCTCTATTGTCCAGATTAGATCCTGTGCTGAAAGAGAAACTAAGAAAAAAGATGATATTCCAGAAGAAGACAAAGGAAATGTTAAACAGTGTGAAATCAATTACGTGTATGTATTCTTTTCCTTTTAGACCCTACAGATTTGGCAACAAAGTACTCCTCGAGACCCGTAAAATAAAATACCCGAAGGACAAGAGGCAGCATAAAATAGACTCTAGGACAAAGAACAAAGCTGAATGCTTTTCTTTTCACAGAGCTTCACTTTTCCTAATTACCCTGCTGACTTTCAAAGCTAAAGTCACTTGGGTTAGTCTTTTCTCCTTATTCATTAATAGAATGACTATAGCTTAATCAGTACATAATGCCAACCAAATGTTGTCCCATAGGCAGGATTCAGGGACTCCAGCTAACATGCCTTAGTGGAACTGGGGCTTTGTAGTTTGCTGCCCAAACAACTGCCCTCTTCATGGAAGTACACCAAGGTCATCTTTGCAGTTGAAAAGTTGTTGTTGTAAAAAAAAAGTTGTTTTTTTTAAATAAATGAAAAACTTTAGAAATATTTGTAAATTCATGAGTAAACATGTATAATCAAAGTTTGAGATGATTTTCAAGAAAGGCATTTTCTTAACAGAAAGAAATTTCAGAGCTTCCAAGACCACAAACTTAAAATAAGTAAAGAAGATAGTAAAATTCTCAAAAAGGCCCGGAAAGATGGATTTTTGCATGAAACACTTCTGGACAGGTAGGTATATTTTTACTTTTTTATAACTATTTTCAGGATCCAATAGAAATGGCATATATATAATCAGTGTTCTTTTTCAAATACTACCGTTCTTAAATTTTTGTCTCCTAATTTATGAACATAGTAATATTACCTAAAAAGGACATCATAAGTCTAGGAAAAGATCACCCAACAAACAATATCTAGTAGTAGCCAAATTCCAAAAACTTATATATTTTGTTATAAGACATTCAGATTTGACTAAAACCCCTTCACAAATTTATTTAACATCATCTTTTTATAACTATTAGAAGGGCTAGAAAGAAGCATTTTAATTAATTTATTTATTTTTTAAAGATTTTATTTATTTATTTGACAGAGAGATCACAAGCAGGCAGAGAGAGAGGAGGAAGCAGGCTCCCTGCTGAGCAGAGAGCCCAGTGCGGGGCTCGATCCCAGGACTCTGAGATCATGACCTGAGCCGAAGGCAGCGGCTTAACCCATTGAGCCACTCAGGCGCCCCGAAGTATTTTAATTTAAAAACTCAGTGGGTTCTAGTAGAATAGTACAGGTTCCTAAAAATGAGATAAAAACAGATCAGTTTAAAAATTACTAAGTATAAAATAAAATAAAATTGAAGCATTTTCATTAAGTTGAATCTAGCAGTGTACAGGATATTTATCATAGCACATTGTTAATATTTATCTAATACTATTCTTACTTAGGTAAGTAATGTCTTAGATCTATAACAAAAAAGTGGGTAGAGAGGTTTAGCTGTAAGTTTATAACCATAAATAAGTGCCAGATTGAAAAAGAATTTGGTAATCTGCCACTCCTTCAAGTCCTATGTTGCAAAAGTAGTCCTAAAACATTTCTTCACACTACTGATAAAGATAATGCTTCATCATATTTCTTCTTAACTAGTTGATGGACTTGTTACCAGAAGTTAGTAAGTGATACAAGAATTTTCCCTGCTGAACAAAGCATGTATTTAGTTTTAAGAAATCAAGAATAGGATGTAAAAAAAAAAAAAAAAATCAGGATATGGACACAAAAGAAATAAGTTGTATGTCTTACTAACTTTTATCACTCATGAAAATAGAACATTGCCACCCTGTTAAATAGAAGTTTAGGGCATGCTTAAATTCAGAGGCAATTAAAATTGCTATTGTGGATTGAAAAAGCTCTTAGGCAACATTTCTTAAAGATTATGAAAGACTTTCATAAGAGTAGAATGTATTTAGCATGAAACAGTATTGAAAAGTTAATTTTAATTAAAATATTTTAAAATAAGTAGTATGGCAATAATCAAAATTGAAAACACAATTTCTGAGTGTGCGTATGTATTTAGTAGTTGACTACATATGGCATGTGTTACATAATTTTTATTATTTGTCTTTGTTTAAACAGGAGAGCCAAATTGAAAGCTGATAGATACTGCAAATGACCAGAATTGTGTTTCTTTCTTCTCCTATTTGTTTTTTTTCTGAATAAAATAATCAGTGGAAGTGTTTTTATAGAGCTCTTGGGCTGTTCGGGAATTACTGCTGAACTAGAGCTAGTTTAAACAAGATTAATCAAGTTTAATCGAGAGTCCCCAAGGGTTTACTTTTTAGTTAACTGTAGTGTTTCACATGGAATTGAAACAGAGTACACACTGAACATGCCATAGAATCTTTTCTCTTTTCTAGGTTTTCTGTCATAAAGCAAGAGATGATACTCTGTGAACCCTGTGTGTCTTGTGCAGCTTATGGAATCTCTTATTGCTTTACATTCTTACTTTATATTACTTTATACCACTGATGCTTAATTAGGACCTTTAAAAGGAAGTTAGAAGCTCCCAATCCAGTCAACAAGGCTTTGATTCTGCCTCCTAAATCCAAATCACACAAGCCAAACAGATATCAAACAAAGTGGGTGGGAAGAGAGAAAGAAATCAGGTATTAGGCAGTAGGATGGGAATAAGAAACATTACAAGAGAAGTAGGCTCTGAACGGAGAATAAGAAGAAAATTGGGAAAATTCCCTACGTAGAGACTGGATTGGATGAGAATGGAGCTATTAAAGAGGTTCAGATACTATACATCGCTGAGGTCTGCTATGCTGAGACACTTTTATTCCTAGCCTGTGTCTCTCTGAATTCCTGAACACAGTATTCCAGATGTCACCTGACCCTGTGAGTGTTCCAGAATGCAGGTTGTGTATCAGATGCCTGGGCTCCACCCCTGGGAATTCTGCTTCAGAAGGACTGAGTCTGGCTGATGCATCTCTATGTTTTTATGATTCCCCGTGGATGATGCACAGCCAGGATTGAGACCTGGCCTAAGTGCCAGACCTGTCTAGTTCTCAGCCATTGTATTCCTTTGGTCACTAGCTCTGGAGTTAGATAGCCACTCTCCAGCAAGTAAGGTAAGCTTACCAGTAGCAACCTTATAAAGGAGCTCTTGCTGTAAATCTAGTCCTAAATCGTCATTCCAGTTCAGTAGCTGGTTATCCACCCCCCCCATCTTGTGTTCTTCTTCCTCTGATCCTTAGGCTAGGAACATGCTTACTACTTAGACAGCTGAAAGCAGTGGTTCTCAACCGGGGCCCAGTGTGGCTCTAAGGGGTTGTCACAGCTGAGAGAAGAGGTGCTACTGGCATTTAGGGTTACAGACTGGGAATGCTGCTTAACATCCCACAAGGCACAGGACAGTACCCCCCCATAAGAAAAAATTTTCCAGCCCAAGATAGTAACTGCCAAGTTTCTGACACCTGCCCTTGGACTTAGTCTGTTTCTTGCTTTTGTCAGCTCCCAGCCCCTAAAAATAAATAGTAGTTCAAATTTATATATGTAAGAATCACCTGAGGTACCTGTAGATTTTCAAGAATCATCCATAAGATGCCAGCTTAGCAAGTCTAGGATTGTGTCCTAGAATTGACATTTTAACTAGCACTCCATGTAATTCTGAAGCAAATGATCTGAAATACACTTTAAGAAACACTGCCCTCAAGAGATTGAAGTCTTGCCTCCAACACTAGCTCGGTACCTGAGACCATCTGCCAGCTGACTGATTTCCCTGGAACAAGCATTCATTCTATCTGCCTCAATTTCAGAACATAGTGTATTCCTGGATTCCCTGTCACCATGCTCACCCTCAAGCTCCCCCAGGTCTTGTCCTTTTCAGAGAGCAAAACTAATTTCAGGTCCTAATACCTGGGAAGATAGATTAAAAATATGCACTGCCTGCCCTCTGGAGTTTATGCGCTACTGAAGGAGGAGAGCAAGAAAAAATCACAGGTAATAGATAAGTGTTCTTCCCAATTTCTATGATTACACTTGACTCCAACCCTCATTACAGCACTGAGGGTAATCTGGCAGAGTGACAGGAGTCAAGAATAATATATCTAAATATTGTCGTCTGGTCCACATTTTTCTTCTTGTGCAAAAGGATGTCGTGAAACTTGTTCAAAGCACTGTCAAAGTCAAGATGGATTCTGGTCAAGCATTCCCCTGATTTACCAGTCCAGTAGCCATGTCAGAAAGGCTTTATATATGATAAAAAACAATAACCAAAGAAAAAGCTCCCCTACACCTATATTTTTTTGACTGCTCACATTTCAGATCATTTCAGTTGTTCTTTTCTTCAAGTTTACTGACTCACTTTTTTTTATCGTCTCCAAATTGCTGTTACACACATCTAGTGATTTTTAAATCTCAAGACATTATTTTTCATTTCTAGAATCTATTTGATCCTATTGTTGTTAATAGATTCTATTTCTGCTGAAATTTCCTATCCATTTACTGCTTTTCTATACATTTATTTCTTTGTTTTTGGGTAGAGTTACAATAGCTTCTTAAAAATTCTTGTCTACTGATTCCAACATCTGGATCATCTTAGAGTCCGTCTCCACTGATGGTTGAGTATGTTTCTTCATATATCTGATGAGATTATATCGTAGACATTGTGAATAAAACATTGTAGAAACTGCATTCTATGTTGTTGTTCTGAAGAGTGATTTTTTTATGTTTAGTAGGCAGTTAACTTGGTTGATCTGAAGCTCCAAATTCTGTCTCCCTTATGGTGGGCAACAGCTGAAATATCTGTTCAGTTCTTTTTGTTTTAGCTGGGCTTCTTGAAGTCAGTCCCAAGGATGTGGAGTTCAGAGATCAGTAAGAGATTTGGGCAATGTGGCTAATATCTTCTGTGGCTCTCTCCTCTTCAGGATTTCTTTCTCACTTTCCAGACTTTGGTCACTCTGAACTCTGTACTCTGATTCTTCAACTAGTAATGACTTAAGCTTTCTATATAATTATTCTTAGTGGCACTGGGTCTGCCTTAAGTTGAAAAGATGTTAAAAATATGTTTCCCCTCTTACTAGTTCTTCTCGATGTTAAAAATATGTTTCCCCTCTTACTAGTTCTTCTCGAGTTTCTGCATGTTTTTGGTCATTCTCCATTGCCTTTAGATAATTTTTAATATTTTATCCAAAGTTTAATTTTGTGTGTGCGAGAGGGCTGGTCTAGCACAAGCTACTCCATCAACCATGATCTGCTCAAACTCTCATTAGTTTCTTGCCCTCTCCTCTCCCAGTTAAGGACCTGCTTGGGCTTTCTTGGGTATAGACACAAAACTCTAACATTCTCTAGAAAGAAGTTGATCATTAAAATAAATGAATATATTTATACCTCTTAAGATAGGCCTGAATTCCGAAAATGAACTCATCATACCTGATGGCCCAATACTATCCAAATACCATGCAATTCCTGGGTCACTCCCAGTCTAGATGTCAATCAGTCATGGCTTCCAACTTACTGTTCTAGCAGGAATTATATTTTTTCAGTTATTCTAAGCTCTTAAGACACAGAAGGACATATTAAAACATTCTACCACATTTCATTAACCAAATTAGTAAGACAGGATAGCTTTTATACTGTGACTTTCTCTTCATGATACTTTTTTAAATGGCATTATAATATTAGCCTGAGGGCGTTAATTCAGGTAACTTCCACTGTAATTTTTTCAGGCTCACTCCTGTTGAAATCCATTACATTTAATGAAAAGATGAAAAACAAAATGTGAAAAAAAAATTCCACAACTATTTCCTCTTTCCTCACCAACCTATTAGCTTACAGTTAATTTTTAAAATAAATATTCATATTTCATTAAGGGAACTTTATGATTGTTTTGCTTTTTTGATTTTTTTTTAAAGATTTTATTCATTTATTTGACAGACAGAGATCACAAGTAGGCAGAGAGGCAGGCAGAGAGAGAGAGAGAGGAGGAAGCAGGCTCCCTGTGGAGCAGAGAGCCCGATGCGGGACTCGATCCCAGGACACTGGGATCATGACCTGAGCCAAAGGCAGAGGCTTTAACCCACTGAGCCACCCAGGCGCCCTGCTTTTTTGATTTTTGATGGCAGGTTTTGCTTTATGACATCTCCTATTCACTTCACCCCAGAAAGTCTCTGACACTATTTGGTGTATTTCTGTTTAATTTTATGCCACTGGACTATTTCTCTTAAATATTGCTGAGGTTTATTTTCTATGATGGAGAAACAATATGCCATCTTTTCATTTAGCTTTGTGTTTCAGTGCTGCCCTTATATTTCATAAAGGATAGATTTTCAGAGAGCATAACCGGGACTTACAAATTAAGATCTCTAGGTGTTTATTTTTCTTACCATGTTTTGCAAATCTAATGAGGTTTTGCAATCCTGTTCTGAGTGCTGCTAGTAGAGAAGAAGGGGTGTAGCACTACCTGTGTTTATTTTTCCATCATGCAGTTTCCTAATTCTGGTCCTTAGAAACTAAGTGGAACTGCAAGGAAGAGAACAAAGAAAACAAAGCACACCTCATTATTCCTTTAAAAAGGTGAAAACCTAAATATAAGTAGATTCCAAGGTAAGGAGTCAAGTCATGACTTCTGTTAGTTCCTTAACTACTACCCGACAAAGTTAAGTTGCATAGCTAGTCAATCACATGGGAAAAAAATAGGCGATGCTTTAAGCTTCTAAAGTCTTATTTATTCTTTTTCTTTATTATTCCTTATGTTGGTATAAGTATTAGTACCTATTTTTTTATTCTGCTAAGTATATTCCACCAAGGCTTTTTGTTTGTTTGCTTTGTTTTTTAACTGGTAGCTGAAAAAGCCCAGGGATATACCTAGGCTTGGGAGAACTTAAAATTAAGATAATAGATTAGCAGCCCACCAGCCTTCATTCAGCTTGATATTACCTGTATATATAAAATGACTTTCTCAAATGTGGTGCTTACTTAGGAAAGAACAGTGGACTTAAGACCAACCTAGGATGTTCTACAGCACCTCAACCCTAAATCTTAGTTTAAGTCAGCTTGCACAGCAGCAGGAATGTTTCAGTTTCCTATTGTTGTGTAGACAAATAATTTCCCTATCTGTCTACAGAAACAGAACCTTCTTGCCTATTCCCTTGTTCTTCATTTTTAGTCCAAAAATCCTCTCTAGAAGACCTTCTATATATCCCATTACTGCTGCTTCTGCCTCTCCACCTGTGATGACCAACTTTGTTTCTCCATGTTCCTTTTACTACTCTAGCCTCATTTCAAACCAGTGTGCCCTTTCCATAATATAGGAAAATGGACAAAGATTTAATCATTTAACAAAAGGGTAAGCAAAAAATTCTAATAGACAAATTTTCTCTTGACTCTCTCATGAGAATGCCCCTTCTGATTTTTTCCATGCCGAATTCAGCTCTCATTCCAGTGCACCCAGAGTTGGAGAATCATATACTATGGCCCCAAGTATCAGTTTTGAAACTTCTCATCATCCTGACCCATCAGCTCAGTCTTTGAAGCACATACCATCCACACCCATTACCACTGCAGTTCTGCACTGCTCTTCATCAGTGTCCTGACCCTCCTGAAATCTGGCTAGTAGTCCTGTCTTCATGGAGTCTCCCATCTCAGTTTCATTGACTCCAGCATTCATGCTATTGTGACCTTTCTTTGATCTGCCTTAAAAAATTCTGTCCTCTTGGCTCAGCTGATCTATTACTCCACCTTAAATTAACAACAGACCAGGGGTGCCTGAGTGGCTCTGTGGGTTAAAGCCTCTGCCTTCAGCTCAGGTCATGATCCCAGGTCCTGGGATCGAGCCCCACATCGGGCTCTATCAGCGAGGAGCCTGCTTCCTCCTCTCTCTGCCTGCCTCTCTGCCTACTTGTGATCTCTGTCAAATAAATTAAAAAAAAAAAAATTAACAACAGACCAGCTGGGTTAAACATGCTTTTTGCTCCACTCTCTTCTGAAATTAGAAATCCTGATCTGTATCTCTGAATGACCCTCCAAGAGCATCCCTTTACCAGTACACTTTTCATTTAAAATGTTTTGAAATATACTTTCTCAGTTCCAAGCCCTCTCTGTTACTAATAGATTTAATTTTCTTGAAATTAGTTTTATTTCTAAATCTAATAAATTATTCTTTTTAATACATTACTTAATAGTTACTGCATTCACAGAACATAAAATACCATTTCTCTATTCAATACTAACATTTTCCTATAGAATAAATACATTAGTTCTAAGAAATTCCACATGTTGCCCAGTTCTAATAGTAAACAAGATCAGAGTTTTCTCTTTAATATTAGAAAATAACTGATCAATTTGCGATGTGATCTAAATAAGAAATGAAAGATGAAAAGTCATCTCACATGTCTAAGAACACATTCACTGCTCTTTCTTCTTTTTCCTCCCACCATTGTTGCAGCCCCTACCCAGGAGTTGAGGGGAATGGTGCTGATATCCCCACCATTTAACTACATAGAGTTACAAACTAACAAGTACTAAATGTACTGACTTCTTTCTTGCTTTCTCTCTTTTTTCTGGGATTTTTTCGCCTCATTTTAAACCCAAGGGAAGCGAGGGAGTTTAACCTTGATTTTATAGAACCAGGGCTTCTACTTTGAGTAAAATGGTACTCCTTAATAAAACAATATACTAGATAAAATATTTGTAAATATCTCTTGAAACGTCACTTATCCACATAAAAGATAGTAATCTCTAGATACCAAACAAAGGGAAAGCAGGAACATCAGAGACCAATGAGTACCAAGCTCACTCTCACCTAAAGGTTTCTACCAAATCCTGGAGACTTTGAGCTTTGGCTTTGACAGGAGCCCAAGAAATGGGATGTAGAAGCCTGTTTTCACCCATGAGTGACTACAAAGGGCTATACCTTCAAGGATAACAGTGTCTTCCATTATAGTTCTTTTTTATAGAATATGTCAGAACTATGGACTTTTATGGTTTTGCGATCTGGCCTGGGAATTTAGTGTAGTGGTTAGGTATATCTAAAGTCAGAAAACCTAAGTAGTTACTTACCCTAAGTCTCAGATTCTCAACCATAGATGGGAATAATAGCAGCACTTTCTTCATATTTGTATGGAAAATGCATATTGATTTCCACACACCCAACTTAAAAACTTCTGGAAAGGGGCACCTGGTTGGCTCAGTTGGTTAAGTGACTGCCTTGGCCTCAGGTCATGATCCCAGAGTCCCCGGATAGAGTCCCGCATTGGGCTCCCATACCTGCGGGGAGTCTGCTTCTCCCTCTGACCTTCTTCCCTCTCATGCTTTCTCTTACTCATTCTCTCAAATAAATAAAATCTTTAAAAAAAAAAAAAACTTCTGGAAAAAATCCATTTGTAATTTGGTGATGCTTACGTTATTTTAAACACCATTTGGCAGATGATGTTAATGCAGTTCTTTTAGTTTATCAAACAAATGTTTATTTGTTATTGAGTGCTATGATGTGTTAGACAGTATTCTAGCTGCTGAGACTAAGCAGTAAACATAAGAAAATCCCTGCCCTCAGGAGACAGATGCAAAACAAAAAGAAAACAGGAATAGAAGTAGGTGGTGTTGATGTTTGGCTCAGGTTAAGTGGGAAAAAGGAGGATAAGGAATACCTGTGGAGTCTTGCATATGATGCTTTAGGAAGGCTCCCTAATAAAGGACCATCTGAGTTTTTGATGAACGACATGGGTATCTGTGAAGGAACATTCTACATAGAGGGAACAGTTAGTACTAAGTTTTTCAGGTGAAGCCTACTTGACATGTTTGAAGTCTGTAAAGAAGATGAATTTAGCTAGAACATCATGAAAAAAAGCAAAGCTGGAGAGATATGAGATCAGAGAAGTAGCAGGTGTGCCAGATCCTAAGTGGCCTTGTAAGCCATGGTAAGAACACTGGCTTTCATTCTGAGTGAGGAAGGAAGTCACTGGAGGCTTTTGAGGAGAGGAGTGACGTAAGCTGATTTGTGTGGAGATTTGATGATGGGGAAAAGCAGGAATACCAATTACAAGGCTATTACTATAATCCAGATGAGAGTAACTTGGATCAAGAAAGAAGTGGAACTGGTAAGAACGTGATCAGATTCTCCATATATTTTAAAGGTAGAGCCAAAAAGGATTTGCTGGTGTACTGGGTATGTGGTAAGAAAGAGAAAAGTTAAAGGTAACTTACTAACTGTAAGATCTTTGGTCTAAGCAAACTACAAAATGAAATTGCCATTTAGTGAGATAGGGACAGTTTGGATTGGTAAAGAAAAAATAGAGTTCATTTTTAGGCATAATAAGCTTAAGATGCCTATTACATATTCCAAGTAGATGATGTTGAGAAGACCAATAGATAGGAGTCTGAGCTCAGGGGACAGGTCTGAGCTGGTGACATGAATTTGAGAGTCATCAAACTAGAGAAGGCATTAACATGATATTGGTTGAGAGCACATAAAGAGTGAGCATAGGAAGAGAAGAAAAGCTATCTGAAGACTGGCCCTGGGCCACCCCACAATATAGAGGTTAGTTGATGAGAAGAAATCAACAGAATATTCAAGATGTGCCAGTGAGGAAAAAAAATCAAAGGACAGTGGTATTTATAAGCAAAATGAAGTAAAATTTCCAATGTCTAAGATACAATGTGGAATTGGGTATTTGAGGTAAAATAGAGGCCAAGGACATTACAAGAGATGAAGTCAAGAAACCAGAGTATTACAAGGATTATTTTTTGTGAATATTGAGATCACCAAGAATATTGAGAACCACATCAGAAATAGTGACAGAGAGCCAGGTGTGAAAAATCTCCAAGGGGTGAGGAGAAGCAGGAGCCAGTAGAGGCCTACAGGTATCTGCAGTGTGATGACACCAGCTTCCAATTCAAGTCAAATAATTGTGAATATGTTGGTTGTTGGTAATAATAGGTTGGCCATGTGAAGATGATGTTGTTTGATTAATTTTTAACCTACAAAAATGGTGATTTCATATGGTTCAATCTAATAACTGAAGATATATAAAATATATCTGAGTTGTGACTGGCTTCATAACTTGATATTTATTTATGTTAGTGCTATTTTCTTTTTCAGTTGGAAGCTCCCTGAGATCAGGAATTTATATTTTACCACATGTGTTTCTTTCACAGCACTTAGGATTTGCTTGGTACTTTCAGTCGGTCATGTAGTACTTTTTATACATAAATTATTACTATAATTGCTATTGATGACCTCTGTTGTTATTTCAGGTTGATAATCATTCTCCTCACCTTCCAAGGTAAAAACAACTGAGAAATACGCACAGGGATTAGATGGGGATCGATACCAGCTTTACTGCTGAGTAAACTGGAATAGGGAACACACTTAGACCTGAGGCCGAGGTGGGATCCGAAGTCTTTCTCCTCTGGAATGTATTCATGTGCTCAGTCCCTTGACAAGTGCAAACTGCATCCCAGGGCACAGCCAGTTTCTAACATGGGGGTAGTGAACAGGGGAAGGTGAGGCTGGGCTGGGAGTAGCAGGTGCAAGTACTTACAAAAGACTCCAGTCCTTGACTGCCTTCTCTCCATATCTCCCACAGCCAGTCCTTCATAATGCTTTCTTCAGTCGTCATAGCCTTCGTGAGAACAAAGTGTTTTTAAATTTTGTTGGACAAGTGCCAGGTTTGAAAGATGCGGTCCAAGGCGGCAACTGCATCCCCTTCCACTCTTGTCACCCAGGGCTTACGGCAGTGAGCTTACCACCATGAGCAAGCAAATCTCAATGAGAGAGCCAGAAAGGCCAGACCACATGAGTGCAGTGACCCTTCCAGGTATTTACCAATTAGGTAAGGCACTCCTCTCCTAGGGACATGTGAATTGAAGGAGTTAGAAAGGTGGATGTTTTCTCCCCAGACCACCTGATGGTGGATGCAGGTTTTTTTGAAGCCTGAAGCCTGTATAATTTGGATAGTCCTCTTTATAAGGAAAAGAATATAAAATTACTAGTGTGAAATTAGGTAGAAGGTTTAGAAGAGGCCTGAGCAAGTGAAAGTCTTGAAACTTAAGCATTAGAGCTTTACAGTAAATCCTCCTGTGCTCTTGCGAAGGTAGCAATACCTGTTTTAATACATGTATCAGTTAGGATGCTCTCAGACACAAACTTGCAAGCCAACCACCTTGAACTACCTTAAATCATAAAGAAGAGTAGTGGCTCACATTAATGAAGAGTCCAGCTGTTGGACAGTGCCGTGGTAGATCTAGCAGCTTAACAATGTCATAATGACCCAGTTTCTTTCCATCTCTCCTCTGTGCTGTCCAAAGTATCTATTCCTCCTTAGGCCGGTCCCTTCAGGTTCACAGCATGAATGCCAGCAGCAATGAGGACTGTTAGCTGAACTTTTCCTGTTAGAAGATAAAGGACAACTTCAATCATAGAGCAAAATCTTGAGCTTCAGAAAATGGCTTGTTGGATTCAAGATTCTAAATGATTAAGGCTGGAGCCAAGCACTGTGGCAAGAAGGACAGGGCAGCTCTAATGTCAGGCCAACCAGGGCCCACATCCAGAGATAAGGATAAGGATCTGGTCTAGCCAACTCATGTGGCTGCTGCATACTGGAGAAGTGGAACTGAGGTTGGTGAAACATCTACAGTATTAAACGAGAGGTGAGAGTATGGAGTAGTAATCTAAATACTGCAAGTTTTCAAGGTACTCATCTGATTTACATTTTCCTTTCCATCATCATTTTTTTTCTACCACAAGACTAAAAGCCCCAGGAAGGCAGGGGCCATTTGTTCACTAGTTACCCAGCACCCAGTGTAAGTGCTCAAAATGTATTGTGAGCATACCTGAATTTACCACAAACTTACGAGAAACAACTGGCAGGAACATTAAATAGGTGTCTATAAGGGTTTATGTAAAAGTGAACTATATAAGAATATGAAATAAGAACAAGAACAAAAATATGAAGAGATTATTGGATTTGAGCTCAATTAAATAATTTTCAGGTCAGAATCTTGTCTTATCAAGGAAAGTGGAAATAGGACAAAAGGATTTTTTTTAAAGTAGGTCTTCAAACTAACATGCCTGAGGTGTCAGAGATTTAGTAAGACATTTAGTAAGATTTAGTAAGACATCAAAGATATGTGCAAGTGAAGGATTATTAAGATGATTATTTTATGTTGACATATAAGAAGGGACAACTTGATTCGGTATGAGCATTAAGTTTATAGTTATGTAACAATGTAGTTGTGTAACAATGCCTTGAGCTGAATTTAATGATTTAACATGTTTTTCTATATACGTGTAAAACATAAAGCAAGTAAAATATTTTTTAGTGTGATAAAGTTACTGAAGGAAAAAATATTGTGTAGCAATTTTGCATGACCTCTGATTTCCCATTTTTCACATCTTTTATTCTCTCTAGTCCTACCTGAAAAGATGGACAATAGTCTAAGTTTGGAAATTCAGATTAGGTTTTAAGTATAGGAAGCCCTTTTTAAATTAAACAACTTACTGGCAAATACTCCTGTAAAAGGTTTATTTTTTGAACTGAAACATTATATTTCTTGAATTTTTGAATATTCAGTTTTATTAAAGCAAGCCATACCTGTTCTGAGTAATGTGGTGTTATGTGCAGTAGAGTTCATTTAGGGTGGAGTGGTTAGATTGCAATGATTTTAAATCAAGGCTCCACCTCGGAAACCTAGGAATGTTAGTAGGAGATTTAAAAAGGTCCACAGCTTGCCAAGAACTTCAGCTATTCTGATAAACAGTTTGATTACTGATGCTTAGTTTTGCATACTAAACAGGTTATCCAAGTCTTAGACTTGATGCTTGTTGCGAAGATAGTATTTGAATCACCCTTCCCACCAACATAGTCATTTATTTGTACATTTAAATGTCATTTTCTGTGAATATGTCAGTATGTCACAAAGCATGGCAAAGTTTCCTATGACCACATGCCTCACCTTGACTTTCTGCACACTTCTACTACTTAAGAATGGAGTAGGAATAATTATATATATGTAAGAAAGAATGCATAAAGTGGTATATTTTGGAAAAGTAGATTTAGGGGCACCTGGGTGGCTCAGTGGGTTAAAGCCTCTGCCTTCGGCTCAGGTCATGATCCCAGAGTCCTGGGATCGAGCCCCACATCGGGCTCTCTGCTTATCGGGGAGCCTGCTTCCCCCTCTCTCTCTGCCTGCCTCTCTGCCTATCTGTGATTTCTGTCTGTCAAATAAATAAACAAAATCTTAAAAAAAAGAAAAAAAGTAGATTTAAATTTTTTCATTTGAAAACAACAGCATATAAAAGGCCTTTGAAAGTTGAATGCAAAATCATGTGAAAATTGTGCCCAAGAATTTTATGCCAATTGACATAATTTTTTTCTGGATAAAGAATCTGATTTTGCTAGACCACTTAACCATCCTCTCATAGGGAAAAAAATATGTTGGTGACATGTTTAAAGTGCCTTCAATAAGTATTTAAAGTGAACGATCTTCAAACCGAATAGCTATTTATATACTAAAAGAGGGGAATCCTCTATGTCTGCACACTGATTTCAAGGTCCAAGATAATTCAATATATTCACAGAGTGAAGCCCTTTACCATGGCTGGTAATGGCCTATATAATCTGCCTTACTCCACTTTCCACTTGGACTTCATCTACTTCTTTTCCCTCTCTTACTTCTGATCTATCTCTACCGACTTCCTTGCTATAGCCAAACATGCCAGGCATTCTCTTTTTTAAGCCTTTGTCCTAGCTGCTCCCTCTGCCTTGAACAATTACTTAGACATCTGCTAGGAGAACTCCCTCACCTTCAAATCTCTGCTCAGACTTAATTTTCTCAGTAATGCCTATCCTGTCCATCTTATTTAACATTGTAACTCTCCCCACTCTGGATCCCCTTTACACTGCTTTTTCTGCACCACATTTATCACCTTGTAACATACTGTATAAATTTTCTTATATATTGTGTTTATTGTTCATTTCTCATCTAGAATGTAAACCTCATGAGAGAAGGGCTTTCTGTCTTTTTCGTTGCCTGCTTAACCTCAGTCAGTGTCTGAAGAAATGCTTGTACATTGTAGGCTGACAGTAAATATTTCTTAAATTAATGAACATTTCTATGATCTGCTTGATTACTGTTGAATCAGGAGCCACTTTAAGCATGTGAGATGTTTCAAAGTCAAAATTCCTCAAACAAAGTGTGAAAATGAGCAAAGGAAATCCCATCTAAAATGGTGTTAGGAAGCCCTGAAGGGGGACTTCTCCCCCACCACCACTTCCCATCTTTTATGGACCCCAATAGGAAAAAGCTTATCTGTACCTTCCACAATAGGAAGCTTACTTTACTACCACAGTAATAGAAAGGAAGATGTCCTACTGTCTCAGCAACAACTCAGCCAATGAGAAGTTGCCACAAGGGAACTCTTGCTCTCTCCTTCAATGGACTCTGACCCAAAAAGCTTCCAACTTTCTCCTTTCCTCTATAAAAACAAGCCCCTCTTTGTTCTCCCCAGTTGCCTATGGTTTGGCACAGTTTGAAGGTGCCAAACTGCTAGTCTGAACAAATTTATTTTGCTGGCAAATTAACTGGTTATCTTAAGGTTGACAGGACGATTGATTGTTACCTACTGCCCACAATAAAATTTTCATTTCCCAATCTCCAGCAAAAAGACTGATTTTTCCAAGGAAGTAGTAGAAATGGGTAAAATTATAATTTCAAACACACAGGAGAAAAGAAATAAATGAAGATTCTGGTGATGGTTTGCTAAGTTTCGTTAAGCATTAAAACAATGCTGGTTGGGATGTCCTAGAGACAACCAGAAACTGCAATCTCGACTGAGAGGTTTCCTGTTGGACTTCTAAGTAATATCCAACAGGGCGATCAAGTCCATGGAAGGCCTGAATGACAAGCAATTAAATCTACTTGTTTTTCAGGTGCAGGCTTAACACTGAATACATACCCTCCTCCAGGGTTTACCTCAGTTCTGCCAACCTAAAGGTTCATGAGTTAGATGAAATAACGCAGCTACTCAATGGCTGAATGCATCAGTGAAGGAAAGTTGGCAGTTCTACCTGGTCATTCCACCTGTTTGTGTAAGCCCAAGTAACTGAAATCTAAATTCTGTGACTTTTTGCGGTGAAAATCCAAACGGGTAATTCAGAGCTCGGAGTGTCCCTGGTAGATCCCCGCCAACCCCCTTCCAGCCCGTAACATCTGAGCACGGCCAGTGACTCCATGATCTGGACGAACAAGCTCACTTCAGGTCTGCTCTCCTCAGAGGGCAAAGATGGGTGGGGGTCGCGTGTCATGCCGCCGTGTTTTGAGACTCTTGTGAATTGGGTCCGTTTCGTGGACATGTGGCACGAGGTGGCCCGAGTGCACACCTCGCCCTGGGCCGTTTGGGGACGTTGCAGAGGTGGCACCAGGCCCAGAGTGGAGCGGGACCTCCCGCCCCCGCGTCGCCCGCGGACGACGATTCTGCTGCCGGCGCAGATGTCCACAGGGCACGACCCGGGTAAAACTTCTTGAGCTCCACCCACCTGGGCGGGGCTCAGGCTCGGCCCAACCACTGCGCGCGGGAGGGGGGGCCGTACCAATATCGCAGTCCTAACGTGAGCGCCGACTCCTATCCTGGGGGTTCCGCACTCCTTCCTGAAAAGCTCCCTCTTCCTGCTATACTCGCCGCAACTCCGAAAAGCCCCGTCCTAATTCTTCTTACCCCGTTTCCTCCGCGCACCCCCCCGTCTCGCTTGGTGCGGTCCCGTGTCGCTGGTCACGCGGCGGCGGGGCGCGGCCTTCCTGGAGCCCAGGTGGTGTTTCTCACAGACTTTGCCCGCGGCCTTTGGAGCGGTTTTGCGGCTGGGACGATGCCGGGCTGGGGTCGCGTAACCTTAGTCCTCCTAACCGCGGCTGCAACCTGTGCCTTGGCGCAGCAGGCGCCGCCGGTGAGTGAGCTCTAGGGGAGGGCACAGAGGCGCGGAGGTGGCGCAGGTGCGGGTGTGGCTGGTCAGGTGGGGCGTGAGGAACAGCGGGTGCCGGGCACCATCATTCCGGGGGGTCTGTGTTATACTTTGCGGGTGTGTGGGTGCAGAGTGGACTGGTGAACCCTGTCCCGGGATGATTCCGTACAAGCTGGGACAAGAAGGCCTTTCAGGGAGATCCTAATCTATGTACAAGCCTGGTTGTGATTTGGACACCCCCAATTTGAGTGATTGCGCTTGTTCGACCAGTTCCAGGCTCGCGCATCCTGAACTAAGAGAAAAAGTCCCAGTCGTCTTGTGTACATAACTCAGTTAAGCGACGGACTGCTTGCTAACTGGTTTTCTCTGCCAGGTGACAGGTGCTGC